TGTAAATAATACAAGCTTCTTTTATTAATAGAATTAGAGTGTAAAGTTCAAATATTTACAAATTAATCAAGTTATTTCAAATTTTGTAAGTAAAAATTAAAAAAAGTAGTTCAAATTACTATTGGAAATGATAGAAGCTTCTTTTATTACTAGAATTAAAGTGTAAAGTTTAAATATTTACAAAGGAATCAGGTTTTTTCAAATGTTGTAAGTAAAATTTTAAAAAATTTGTTTAAATTACTATTGGTAATAAAAATAGCTTCTTTTATTACTAGAATTACAGTGTAAAGTTCAAATATTTATAAACGAATCAAGTTTTTTAAATAAAATGTCAAAAAGTAGTGCAAATTACTATTGAAAATGATACAAGGTTTTTTTTTGATAGAATTAGAGTTTAAAGTTCAAATATTTACAAACGAATCAAGTGTTTTCAGGTTTTGTAAATAAAAGGTCAAAAAGTAGTTCAAATTAATATTGAAAATGATAAAAGATTCTTTTTTTCTATAATTAGAATGTGAAGCTCATTTAGAAATTTTTTCAGATTTTGTAAATAAAATGTCAAAAAGTAGTGCAAATTACTATTGAAATTGATACAAGGTTTTTTTTTTGATAGAATTACAGTTTAAAGTTCAAATATTTACAAACGAATCAAGTTTTTTCAGATTTTATAAATAAACTGTCAAAAAGTAGTTCAAATTAATATTGAAAATGATAAAAGCTTATATTTTGCTATAATTAGAGTGTAAAACTCATATATTTACAAATAAATCAAGTTTTTTCAGATTATGTAAATAAACTGTCAAAAAGTAGTTCAAATTAATATTGAAAATGATGAAAGCTTCTTTTATTAGTAGAATTGGAGTTTAAAGTTATTGCGTAGTTTGTTTGGTTGTTATGTGATTCGGTAAATCAAAAAAAAAAATGTAATTCAATTACGTTGTGGTTACATTTTACGGTCGTAGCAAATCAATTGGGAGCGATGTTTGCAATCAGGAAATTGGCTTATGTTTCCTACATGGAATCGATTCCAACTATTTTCCATTCGTTGCGATCCAATAAAATACATATCTCTTGTAGCAAAAAAAGAGAAAATGTAAATGACGATGCGGAAAAGCGTCAGGACGATGAGTGATGGAGGTTCGAATTGATATTGATAAAGGCTTTTTTACTCTTTGTGTATCGGGGCTCAACCATTTGTCGGCCTCAAGAATCAATTTGCGAGGGTGTTTGGTAGAGTATACACACATTGTAAATCGATGGGAGGAGTATGGGTCAGCGAATTTTCAAGGACCTAATCATAATTTCAGGATAAATTGGCCTTAAACGCATCTCGCAGATCGATAGTCCACTTAATAATCATCCCTCGAGACCTCTGAATAATTCCTCGAGACGATGGATGCAAGAGGAGAAACACGCAAGATATTCTAAGTGCTTTTCGTATAACTTCCTCTGACCCGAAATTTTGATTTAATTACAAGATTCGATAGTAGTTTCACCCAGTCCCCCTTTTCTCTCAACCGGTTATGAATGCTAAACAGTTTTAAAGTTAAACACAGCGTCGATAAAGTTCCTCAGGGTTGTCCCTCTTCCATTAATTGCAGCCATTTTCCCTTCTCGATCGTGCGTTTGCAAGAACTTTACCAATTACTTTCGTGCTGAAATCGCGATTGTATTTTATTGGGAATTAGTGCCGGAGGGGTCATAATTGGTTTTTCAAGTGCAAAATATCAATTGGGTCGATTCAAATCATCATATAAGCAAAGTTTGAAATTTCATATTAACTTTCCAATCACTCTCATTTTACTGAAGAATTAAAGTATTTTATTACATTAAGTAGTTTTTACTTGTTATAAATCATTTAAATCACTTTATTTGTCAAAATATAACATGTTTAATCACTTGCGAGAAATCGGCGGATATATTCGCCCTATCGTTTACACAGGAGCTTATGCAATATTACAAGTTTAGTTCTAATATTGACGTATAGATGGCGATTTTTTTAAATTTTTTTGATGACATCCGCCCCAGTGGCCTAATGGATAAGGCATCGGCCTCCTAAGCCGGGGATTGTGGGTTCGAGTCCCATCTGGGGTACACATGTTTTTACTATCTTTACCCTTGGACACATAAATAATGGCGAATACATTGTATTTGTGACCATTATCAATTACATTTTTATAATTGGTATGAAAATGATCCATTTTATTAAGTAATTTAGTTTTTAGTTCAGCATTTGTCCACCTGTCAATAAGTGACAGTTAATCCAAATTCTTGCTAGTCCCAGTGATCTAATGCCTCGAGGATTGTGGTTCGAATCCCATACATATTTACATACATATTTTTTTCGTTAATTATCCATTATGTTGAGAAGATCCATTCTTAAGTAACGATAAATTACATAAGTAAAATGTTTTGACATATTGGACTTAACCTGAAAAACAAATTTAAAACATTTATCGCTTAGTAACATTACTTACCAACAGCACACCTTGTCAATCTGATGTAACCTTAAAATATTGAGATGGTACACTTGTCTATATTCTCAATAATTGTAAAGTTAAAGTATACTAAAAGTATTAATGAGAAAATATTCCAAACTATTTTTAATTCAATATTTGTATAATTCAAGTATTGATTACATCAATCAATCAATGTGAAAATAATCCGAATTTTTAGTTTTCGAGGTGTTAAAGTTTATAAGTTTACTAGAAAAACAATTGTTATGTAAGAAGATTTGCAAAAGTTTTATAGTTTGTAAGTTAATACGAAAAAATCAATATTTTGATTACTTTATGTTTATAACAATTTAATTTAAAAAAATACGTTTGTATACTTGTCCTCATTGTCAAATTCATGTACTTGACATGTTAAGTGGAAAGTACAATGTAACAAAGTTAAAGAGTTGATTGATGTATGTGAAAATATTCGTATTTTTTCAACGTGTTATAAGTTATGTCGGCATGCGGAAATTTTCAAAATAACTCATGAAAACTGTTGAGAACACTATAAATCTTTAAACGCTCGCTGAAACTGAAAAACATGCGAATAAATCAGACCGTGTCAAAGTGCACTTCAAAAAAACTAAAATAATGTCTTCGTTTCAGATCCTCTCCGTAGTGAGAAAACCTGCGATGAGAACTGCAAGAAACATGTTCATCGTGAACTTAGCCATCTCCGATCTTCTCCTCTGCACAGTGACGATGCCTCTGACCTTGATGGAAATCCTCACCAAGTATTTCCCCCTGGGAAACAACGCTTTCGTCTGCAAAATGATCGGCACTTTGCAGGCCATCAGCATCTTCGTCTCGACTATCTCGATCACAGCAATAGCCTTGGACAGATACCAGGTATTTGTATCATTCGTCACGCGTAACGTCCAATTAAAATCTAAACCCCTTTTCCGAAACGATTTTATCGCTGAAGGACAATTCGGATGAAGATAATTGGAAAGAGATTCGATTTATTGGAATCCTTTCGGGTCAAGGAGCGCTGGAATTCTGCCAAGATGACAAAAAAAAATATATATATGGGTGTTAACTTAAATGCACTTTGGTTCCGAGTTTCTAACGTAATTTGCAAACTCTTTTTTTTTTGCCGAATTAATTACAACCATTTGGGAGAATAATCGGAAATAATTAGTTTGTTAATTGAAGTTTGTGGCAAAATTGTTGAGGTTTATAAGAATTGCTATTTTCACAGTTGAAAATATATAATAAGAAAATTTACGTCATTAAAATATTGACGATTTCCTCTAAATCCAATAACATTTTCTTTAAAAAATATATAGTTAACTTCTTTTTATATAATATATTTGTAATAATTCATTTGCTTCATCAATTATTACAATAAATTATTTATATATTTTTTCTTAAATTTGAAGTAGAAAATTATAATTTAGCAACAATGCAGGTGTTCAATTCAAATGTATTTGTTCAATTAATACGCATGTGTTCAATTTAAAAGCAGGTGTTCACGCAGGTGTTCAATTCAAACGTAGTTGTTCAATTAATACGCAGGTGTTCAATTAAAACGCAGGTGTTCGTTTTAGTTAAACGCAGGTGTTCATGCAAGTAGTCACACAGGTGTTCAATTAATACACAGGTGTTCAATTCAAACGCAGGTGTTCAATTCAAACGCAGGTGTTCAATTCAAACGTAGTTATTCAATTAATGCGCAGGTGTTCAATTGAAACGCAGGTGTTCATGCAGGAAGTCACGCAGGTGTTCAATTAATACGCAGGTGTTCAATTAAAACGCAGGTGTTCATGCAAGTAGTCACACGCAGGTACTCAATTAAAACGCAGATTTTCAATTAATGCACAGGTGTTCAATTGAAACGCAGGTGTTCATTTTAATTGAACGCAGGTGTTCATGCAAGTAGTCAAACAGGTGTTCAATTCAAATACAGGTGCTTAATTAAAACGCAGATGTTCAATTAATGTGCAGGTGTTCAATTGAAACGCAGGTGTTCATGCAGGTAATCACACAGGTGTTCATTTAAAACGCAGGTGTTCAATTCAAAGGCCGGTGCTCAATTAATACGCAGGTGTTAGTTTTAATTGAAACACAGGTGTTCACGCAGATGTTTCGTCTTTAAAAATATATTTACCCGGCACATTCACCATTTCTTAAAGGCTCATTACTAATTAATTAGTAGACTTTTACTTGTGACTGTGATCTTTGTTGTTACATAATAAATTATGTTTATTTTGATCATTATAAATTATTTTGGAATTCAATTCAATCTTTATTTTTTTTTACAAAATAATATTTATGTGCATGCAAATACATTTTCTCGTAGACGAATCGATCATACGAAAAAGTAAACAAGTTCTTGCATTGCCTTGAGCATGATTTATTATCGTTTCTCTATTTTCTTGTTATTTCAAAGAAATTTCGATAAATATTCAGAAATTCTTACGTAATTATTAACATAAAAACAATATTTCATAATTTAAGAAAAATATTTATTTTATTGGATAATTGAAGATTTTTACAAAAAAAAATAGAAAATTTCTATTAAATATTTTTTTTCGTCGTTTTATAATATATTTAACTATAATGAAAATTAATTCATTATTTACTTAGTTTCATTTACATAGAGTTTTTATCAATTTTTAGTTGATTTATCATTTGAATTTGTTCTAAACTTTTTTTAAAATTAAAATTAGATCAATAAACACAAATTTATATCCAATATTTTCAAAACTTATTTAAATTACTTTAATTTATCTAGTTTTCAATTTGTTTCATTTTAATACAAAATTTCTTTATTCTTATAGTCTGAATTAATGAACAATTTCAATGATTTTCTTTAATCTTTCCAACTTGTTATAATAAATCTAAATCTCTTAAATCTAAAGCTTAAGATATAAAATTTGTATAGCATTTTATCTTCATTCGACTGTTTTGTGTGCGTTCCAGGTCATAGTTTACCCAACGCGCGAAAGCCTTCAGCTCTTCGGAGCAATCCTCATACTTGTGCTGATTTGGGTCATAGCTACAATCTTAGCTTCACCACTCTTCATCTACAAGCAACTTGCGCACTACGAGATCACCATCAACGACACCGATCTTCACGTCAACTACTGCTACGAAGAATGGCCACCATTCCTCGACCGCTACGTCTACTCCGTCTTCTCTTTGGTCGTCCAATACATCATACCAATACTCACAGTTTCTGTACGTATTAATTACTATTATCCTATAATCTATCTAGTTAATCTATATAATACAATTGGAATGACAACTATGTATGCATTGAGATGAATTTGTGTGTATTTTTTATCTAATTTTCAGGCGGCATACTTCAGGATCCTGTACAAGCTGAAGTATCGTTTCGCTGCTGGCTTCGTGGACGACGCTCAGAACTCTCGTCGACAACTCCGCGGAAGACGTCTTCAACGCACCAACTTCCTCCTCGTCTCCATCGCCGTCATCTTCCTCTTATCATGGTTACCTCTGAATCTGTACAATTTGATAGCCGACATCTGCAAGACGTACAACTTCAACACAGAAACGATGAAGATCGTGTACGCCGTCTGCCACATGATGGGAATGTCTTCTGCTTGCTGGAATCCGTTCCTCTATGGTTGGTTGAACGAAAATTTTTGGAAGGAATTCCAGGACATCCTCTGCCTATCCTCGACGAAGGAGGACAAGGCGCAGATGAAGACGCCCGCGAGGAAACCGTCGAGCTTGAAGAGCCAGTACCCTCTGCAGCAGCTGAAGCCGGATCTGATCACGGATTTCAATCAGGCGACGACGGCCGACACTGAGATGACGCAGCTGTCCAAATAGCTTCTGAGCAAGTCCACTAAGCCGGCTAGTGGACGGGCTGCTCTAGTTTAGTGATGGAGGGACGACGATGACGGTGATTAAGATGTTGACGATGAAGAAGATGAATGCGTATTGTAGCTGGCAAATGGATGTTTATAATGATGATGATGATACACTTTAAAGTGCGGCCTTTCGACAGGATGATCGATTTCTGCATCTTCGGAAACGCCTGCACTCCCATCGGATTAGTTTTGAGGGTTGGAAGTGGGCGGTGTCGAGGAATCGGTGACGGTAGTTTTTAAAGGATCGAAACGGAGGATAAAAGTAACGGGACAAAGTTTAAATGCATGCAATTTCGGTTTGTAATACAAGTAATACATTTACTACAAACTACACTCAGCGTTCAGTTAACGTACATAATGCTTACATAAATTCCCGTACTCTAAACGTATACATAACGAGTTTTACAACTTAAATAAAATACAAAAAAACTTACATAATTTACGTACCGGATGAGTAAACAATTACATAATTGATTTAGTACATATTTACGTTTCCGTTCGCACATACGTACACTCGTTCGCACATACGTACACTTTCCTATTATACGCAGAATTTTATCATGTACGTATACAAAAAAATGTATTTTAAAAAGCAAACATCACACTCGATACTTACCAAATACTTTATTACAATACATCAAAAGAAATTGTTACTTTCACAAGTTACTTGGTAAGTATTTTGCAGTTTCCCTAGCCAATTCATAATTTCGACATTGATGTATTCAGAAACAACGTTCTAAATATCATAAATCAATTAATTTCAAACGAACAAAAGCCCTGAAATCAACGAAATCGATTACATACTGAAAATTTATTAAAAAAAAGCACAATTAAGTAAAGGACTTAATATTTCCAACCCTTTTTTTTACATAAATAATGATGTGTATATATATATAAAAAACAAAATATATAAATATTTATTTACTTTTGTTACTGTACATAGCATATGCAAAGATTAATTACAATTAAGAAAAATTCACGTATTTACATTATAAATATTTTAATTACTTCTTAATTCGTGATGCAGTTGAAATACTACGAAGGAGAGATAAAAAAAAGTTAAAGAGTAAAAGCAAACGCATGTAAATGTTTATTATTACTATCATATTTAGGAATGGTAGAAAAAGTGTATAGAGAATATTGTTTGTAATATAATTGAACAACAAAAAAAAAAGATATATAAATCCTACATTTGTAATAATAATAATGATTAATAAATGTTTATAAATTTCAATTTGTTTATGTATTTTTTTTTGATTGAATTATTTTAAATCCTTGAAGAAAATTGTAGAAGTAAAGTGAAGGTAAGTAACTATGCAATAAAATAAGCAAAAAGTTTATTAGTTATTAAGGAAAAACGGTTTTTCTAAAAATTGGACAAAATTTTCGATAATTTTCTGGCACTCCTAAATACGAAATATCGAAGTTATACAAGCGTTTCCGGAGGCTCAATCAAAAGGTAGTGTAATTTGTACGAATCCTGTTGAATTCCTTAAATATTTTGCGTGGTTATCCTGAAAATTTTAAAAAAAATAACGTGAAAATGCAACATTTTCAGCAACGTCACATCACACAACTCGTAACAGTCGTAACAGGCCAACGGATGACAGCAGAAACCTGCCAGTAAGCTTCTTGGAAATGTGAAACTTTAGAAATTTTATTATTAGGAAGATGCAAGTAGGCTCGTTGGAAAGGTGAGAGATTCACCTTTCATAGGAGTGGTCGATGATGTAATTGTCTTTAGCGGTTGTCGAGAAATTAACAAAAAACTGAAAAAAAAATGAAAAAAACGTCGTTTCTCTGTTACGTAACGAACAATACGTAACTTTTGTTACATAAAAAGTTGCGCAACACTTGCGTGCATCTAATTATGTAATAAGATCATAAAAAACTTTATTACTTTTCGAGTTATTATCAAAAATCTAGTTTTTGGGTAAATTCAATTCACTTTTTTTTCCAATTTCTATAGCTCATAGCAGGCGACTCGGCGGCAGTAGGAAGATACCAGTAGGCTCGTTGGAAAAGTGAGACATTTAACTTTCATACGAGTGATCGATGATGTAATTGTCTTTAGTGGTTGTCGAAAAATTAACGAAAAACTGAAAAAAAAAACGTTGTTTCTCTGTTACGTAACGAACATTACGTAACTTTTGTTACATAAAAAGTTGCGCAACGCTTGCGTGCATCTGATTATGCAATAAGATCATAAAAAGTTTCTTAATTTTCGAGTTATTTACAAAAATCTAGTTTTTGGGTAAATTCAATTCACTTTTTTCCAATTTCTATAGCTCATAGCAGGCGACTCGGCGGCAGTAGGAAGATACCAATAGGCGATACATTCAGCTTTCATACGAGTGGTTGATGATGCAATTGTCTTAAGGAGTTGTCGAGAAATTCACGAAAAATAAAAAAAAACGTCGTTTCGATGCTTTTTCAATTTCTACAACTCATAGCCGGCGACTCGGCGGCAGTACGAAGATGCCAGTAGGCTCGTTGGAAAGGTGAGACTTTCAGCTTTAATAGAGTTTGAGATAATGTAATTATTTTGGTTTATGTATAAGATTTTGTTTATCTTGAATAATCCTAAACTAAACTAAAACGTCAAAATCAATATATTTAAATGGAACTTTATAGTTGAACAAATAAAGAACAGAAGTGAAAATAATATTACAAGAATGATAATATTTCATAGACTGAGAAGGTGACAGTATTGAAGTTCTCTTTTTTTAGTAGATATATTTTTTTCACGTCTGCGAAAGATTTAAGGGCGTTTTCGAGCAGCCGACGAGAGTGGGGAGTATGAGAGTTTATCTGAGCCCTTTCCTCCGCCCGAATGGACGTCGACGCAATGTAAACACATTAGGTTGTTGTCAAGGGTGACGCGTCACTTCCTCTTCCTTGTTAAAATGTTCCTGTAGGGTTGCTAAGGAAACTTTAATCACGAAGAAAAATTGCGACACGTCCGTTTTCTTACATATTAATTTTACGACGCGCATCATTAACAATGATCACACCTTAATTTGATTGATGCAAACTTTATTAAATTTTAACGTTATTAATACATTTTTATGTAAAAAGAAAAACAAGACTTTCATCATTATTAACTAAATAATTATTATATTTCTGTGTTCGTTTCGTAAATTCACCGAATAGTGATAAAAAAATATACGTTGTTTAATTTTACAAGGAATTTCATAAATTTGATGAGAAAACAGCGATTGAAGTGTGCACTACAAATAGCCTAGATAATGAAATTTAACGTTTCCAATATCCGTTTCGCAAAGTCCATCCGCTTTTGAACCTAATTCATTTTCATCCCTCGTTTGCTAATTAGTCAGAGTTTAATCTCATACATTGTACATCGAAACCTTATACAAGTTTAATCCTTTGTGATATTCAAGCGTACGGAAACTACAAAGTTCCCTATCAGTTTACGTAATATCAAGTGGATATTGCAATTTCTAATTATATGTTTATGTTAAATTTTTGGCCCAACA